GTCTCTTACTAATTTATCTGTATCTTCTTGTGCAACAACCCTTATCACATGTAGCATCCTTCTTCCACAAAACTTGGACTTTGGTAACTTTGAGATAAAGTTATTGTCTTGCACAGACGTTCAATCATCAGCCTGAGGAGCCGGTCCTTTACCCTGAGGAGTTGGTTTTTAGAACAATTAAGCAGCTACGTTGAATACCTGGTTCTTCGAACATTGAATCTAAACAAACTTTGTTAATCATCAAAATCTCAATACTCAAACAACTATAGAATGAATTCCCATGAAGTCAAGTCTCTAAGGTTTACAGGCTACCAAGAGAAAAATGATAACAAATTTCGGTTATTTGAACTCATCAACTTGAAAAAAAACTAGATAAAGTCGTGGAGCAAGTTAAACGAGATGTGCTAATTTTTGATTTGCATTCTAATTGAAGTATTAAGATCTTAATATTTTGTACAATCCCTTTCAAAAGGATGAGTTTTATCACGACTCAACTCCCATCGGAGCCGCAACGACGCCTGACACTAATTGTCAGGCAAGCCAACAGTCATATAATAACTAAGTATTTGAACAAACGTGGTTTATTAGACTTAACATCGAAAATATCAAAATTATCCAATAAAAACAATAGCAATACTGCTACAACCATCACCAAAATTTGGTGTCAACGAGTACATGAGCACTACTGAGTATCAAAATACAACCAAATCCTTAGTAAAAATGTATGGATAATTGAATAGTAATAAGAAAAATAAAGGAAAGAGAGCCAAGGTCTGTGGATGTCATAGCAGATACCTCGAAGTCTCCAAATACTAGTATCAACACGACTCTAGCAATCACCACGTCCAGATAAACCTGGATCTGCACATGAAGTGCAGAGTGTAGTATGCGTACAACCGACCCGATGTACTCAACAAGTAATAGAACTAACCTTGGGCTGAAAGCAATTACGAGCTCACAAGAAGACAGTCAGAAACCAATATTAATGACAACACAAATATAATGATGACAGTAATAATTAGTAACCCAAAGGAATTGTCATAATCAGCTCATTCACATTGCAGGAATTCTTACATGCTTTCAAATATCACAATTTAAGCCCAACACTGATAAAAATATCTTATTTACCGGCTAGCATGAGGAATAGTACATCTTTATGCCTACATGTCAAGTATGCATGCCAAATGAATGATTTTACGGTGGTATACCCAGGTGTTCTCGCTCTCAACATACTCAAGTTGTCTGTCTCAAATTCTCACTTCACCACACACACTCAACCACTCAGCACGGTACGGGTGCATGGCATTAATGTTTCTCACCAAAGCTCGTGTATATATCACTGTGCCTGCGCTCATTGCTGGTATGTCAGACTCCAGATGGGCGGATCCTGCCTAAGCTCTAATCAAAAGCCAACATGGCTTGTAGCCCGATCCAAATAATATAATAAATAAGCCAATATGGCCTGCTGCGGCATGCATCCCGATCCAAATAAAACTCTCAACACGGCTCTAAGGCCTACCTCAGTCATCAACCCCCCAAATCTCAAGGGCTCACAATCTCATATCACTCAGCCCAACAACACCACATATGGAAAAACAATGATAACATGCAATGTAATGATGATGAACAAAGACTGAGATATGATACGCAAATGAAGAATCTTGACGGAGTGTATAACTATAGTTAAGTAAGAAAACCCAAAGCAACATAAATAGCCTCATCAAGTCTCAATCAAATAACCACATAGCCAAGATATGATATTTAACATGAATCATTGCTCAGTTAATCTAATAAATAGGAAAGATACGGATAAAACAAGACCTGATAGCAACACAATCCAAAAGTCAGCCCGGATCATGATTATCCTGGTGCACGCCCACACGCCCCTCACCTAGTATGTGCGTCACCCCACCACATCACAAATAACAAGGTTCCTAGGTATAATTACCCTCAATTCACAGTTTATAAATGTTGCTTACCTCAAAACGCGCAAGTCAATACTCCAAAAAGCCCTTCCCATGCAAATCGGCCTCCAAACGACGCGAATCTAGCCACAAAAAACTTAATATCAGCAAATAACGCCATAGAAAAAAACTTCAAACAATGAAACTTCGTTATTTATCAACATCAAAATGTCAACCCTAAAAGTCAACCCCGAGTCCGAGCCCGCACCCCAGAACCCGGTCAAACTCACAAATTCCAAACAGTCATTCAATTACAAGTTCAACTATATCAATTTCATCCAATTCCGACCTCGATTCAACGTTCAAGTCCTTATTTTTCACTTTAGGAAGTTTTTACTAAAATTTTCCATTTCTTCACTTTAATTCACCAATTAAATGCTAAAAATAAAGATGGAATCATGAAATAATAATAAATCTGAGTAAAAACACTTACGCCGATCCAAAATCATCCAAAACGGAGCTCTTTAACTCAAAATATGATATAATAACTCTAACCCTCGAAATGGAGTTTTAAACAATCTGCCCAGGCATTACCCTTCGTGGTCGCATACATCTTCTCGCATTCGCGAAGAACAAACTTCCATCTCATCCAAAAGACTCTATGCGAATGCGAGGCAAGGGTCGCGAACGCGAATCACAACTCACCCTAACACTGCACGAATGCGGGCACAACTTCGCGATGACGTACAGCCATCCGCCCCATCCAACCTCCCTACTACGTGAATGCGTCGCAATCGCGAAAGACACAACACCCGAAAGCATCATGAATGCTGCCAACCTTCAACAATACACTACGCGAACCCGACGTCTTCTTCGCGATCGGGAAGAAGGAAACCAGAACTGAGAACTAGCAGTTCCTAAACATCGAGAAATGGCTCGAAACACATCTGAAACACACCCGAGGCCTCCGGGATCCCGTCCAATCACATCAACCAATCTCAAAATATAACACAAACCTGCTCGAGGACTCAAATCACATAAAACAATATCAAAACCACGAATCGCACCCCAATTCAAGCCTAATGAACTAATGATCTTTCAACTTCTAAAATTCATGCCGAACCTATCAAATCAACTGTTAATGACCTCAAATTTTGCATGCAAGTCCCAAATGACACAACAGACCTTTTTCCAACTCTTAGAACTGAAATCAAAACCGATATCAATAAAGTCAATTCTCGGTCAAACCTCTCAACCTTCCAAACTTTCAACTTTCCAACTTTCGCCAAAAAGCCTCAAACTAACCTATGGACCTCCAAATCAATATTCGGTCAGACGCCTAAGTCCAAAATCACCATACAAAACTATTGGAATCATAAAAACTCCATTCCATAGTCGTCTACACAAAAGTCAAACTCCGGTCGTGTCTTTCAACTTAAGCTTTCAGCTTTGGGACTAAGTAACCCATTTCATCCCGAAACTTTCCCGAAACCAATCCAACCATCCCGACAAGTCACATAATCACATATGAACATAGAAGAGGCAATAAATAAGGGGACAAGGCTACAATACATAAAGCGACCTACCGGGTCGTTACAATTTTAGAAGATATTTTTATGCAGAATGAAAAAATGCATGAAGGAGAAGAAAAAGAAGAAAATGAAAAACTCTGTTTGCACCATAAAAGAATTGATCACCTTTCTTTTTACATCCTACATCACCTAATTATGGTAGAATACACAAGCGCTGATACATAAAAGGAAGAACAAAGAAAAGTGACGCGTGATTTGAATGAAGCCAATATGTGTCTTTCACCAGTTTTAATTATTTTAAATTCATGGCGTTTAACATATTTGGACCAAAATATCAGATTTTGATGAAACGATTTCGTTTTTGCCAATACAATTACATTTGTCCAAAGGACTATCCTTCTTACTTCTAGTTTGTTTTGAGGAAATAAAGTGATATTCACGAAGGCAAAGTCAATTCCAAAGTGATATATAGAGAAGAGAGAGGCAAAAAATTCAACTTTCTTTACTCTGTTCATTCTTTAATCATCTATTCTTTGTGATTTATGAAATTTAATATCAAAATTATGATAGATGGTCATGATCTTATAGCACACTGTGATATCTAATATGATTCATCAATCATGTGTATCTTTATTTGGTTCGATGATTACATGTTTCTCCTTTGAATCTCTTTTCTTCATTTTTGCATCATTTTTTTTTGTTGTATTCGACAATTATAAATAACATAAAAATTAAAGAGATAAATAATTCTTAGGTTCTATTCTAATAAACATGGTATAAATACTACTCTCATGTTTAAAGTGAAAATCAATAAATAACACGACGTGCAAATAAAGCGTGCACTTATCGAATAAAGGCATAGTGAAAGAGAAGATAAACATAGTTGCATATCTATCTATCTTAGCTTGTTGTCTTTAGACATCATGACATAAATACTGAACGTTTAGAAGTCATTCAAAAAGACAAATGAGTTTGTATTTGAATCCTAACTCTTAAATTTTTTTTTTTTAATTATAAATCAGAGGTCTAGAAGGATTTTGCGTGCCGTTTATAAGATAGGATGATGAAGCAAATCTAACTTTTATTATTATTGTATGAAAGATTTTGACCTAGAGTTAACCGATCCTTCTTGTTTATCAAGGTATATTTTAAATTTTGCAACTCCGTATTTACATTATGAAAAGCCCTCAGATTTAGATGGAAAGAGAGTCGAACATGTGTATACCAATTTAGGATCTCTTAAAGGTCATTAGATCTAAATGTTGCATCTTTGCCACCCTTGATTTATTAATTAAAATTGGTAGAAAAGCTTGTTCCTAATTAAGTTTCCAATCTGAAGCATGTTTAGAAAGACTAATGGCTGAAACTTTGTCATTCGATTTTTTCTCTAGTCATGGTTGTTTTAAGGATTTAAAAAGAAGAAGATGTTTTTAGGAATTTCAATCATCTTGTCTCAGTCTAATAAGATCGATCATTTATAAAAAAATTTAAACTTCATTTCATCATTTTCTTAATAATATTATCTTACAAAATCGTAAACTACGATAGACAACTTAGCATACACTAATAATAAAAAAATAAAATACTCGAACCAATACTCCAAATTTGTTGGAATTTTGATTATCGATTCGCACAAAATTTCATTGTCCTACCTTTCCCTCTCTTTCGATACTATCCCCATCACATTTACCAATTTCCCCTCTTTTCCGACACCCATATATATAAAAGTAAAACCCCATGTAGATAAAACTTCATATTCAGCTCCAAAATCCATTCTTTGCTCTGAACCTTGACAATTGGAATTATGCACATAAGCACGAACCCAAAATCTCAGAAATCGGAATACAAAGATGATCCTTGGTTATTCACAGAAGCTAGAACATAAGAACTATACCCAGATGCGATTAATCAATATCTTGGAAAATATATAAATGATTATTGACTTATTTTAGTTCTTCTGGTAAAGAATTGGAGTATAAAGGTTTTTTTTGAATGGTAGTATGACAGCCTATTGTCCATGCAAGTTTGATATGGGTCGGAAAGTTGCTGGTGGGCCAATCCATTTTCAAGATTGTCAGCTAAGATATGTAAAAATTTCAGGGTTTGGTATTGGGTTTTCATATGGGTATAGGCGTGGTAGGTTGAGATGGGTTCAAAGGAGAAGACAGAAGAAGCTTGTTGTCAGTGCTGAGCTCTCTAATGCTTTCTCCTCTAACGTTGGATTCGATTCTCAGGTTGCTTTTTTATTTATTTTTTTATTTACCTACTAATGTCATTCTCTCAGTTAAAGCTTTGATTGAATATTTGCCCTCTTATCTTGTTAATTTGTTGGTTGAAAGGGATGTTATCTGAAGCTTATGTTTGGTCTTGCTTGAAATGTACTACTGATGCCAAAATTTGGGTCTTTCTTTATATGGAAGGACCTAGCTCAGAAATTATGGGTTCAACTGAACCTAATAGCTTTGACTCAAACCCAGTCCATGTGTTAAAACGTCTACTAAATAAATACAAATAATAGATTTTGAGCCTAGTAAGTCAAATGGGTTGTGATAAAATTTCGAACTCGCACCCATAAAGTGCAAATTTTGGCTCCGCCTCTATGCACTAATGATGACTTTGTAGGCCAGTGAGTCTTCAGATAGAGCAGACTTGAGATCGTGTTTCTGAGCATTTGATTCATGTAAGATATGCCAAGGTTGAACCTTGATATGTCCTGGTATAGGAAGTAAAAGCCAGATAGATGAATTCTAACCAGAAGTCCAAGCGATTAGATCCCATTCTAGCTATTTTGTTTTCGCCCCAATGTGGTGGCATAGAGTATCTGATAGCCTGTTTCACAGTTTTGGTGTCTCTTGTATAGACTGATACGAAAAACCGAGTGGTTCTTTCTTGAAACTCGAATCGAGAAAACAACTTAGTTGATTAATTTATATTTTAAGCAAACAAACGTTCGCACACAATTCTTTCAACTATGTTATGTTCTCATTACCTTTTTTTGTTGTTTCTAATTAGTTCTTAATTTGAAAGTTTTGCATTTTGTTTTCTTATGGTTTGTTTACTTGATCCGGGATGGTTTCTAGTCAAAATTTATGTTTTTATTTTCTGATATAAGTAACTCAATTACCAAAAAATGGGACTACCCCGTATACTAGAGGTATTATGAAGTTTTAGATAAATAGTTTCCAACTATTAATCTCTGCTTGAAAGTTGTTGGTTTGAACTTTTTGTTATTAGCTGACAGCTTTCTTGAAATTTTGAACTCTCCAGCCGCGTGATATACTGAAGTTACCCTGGATTGGCCCTCTACCTGGTGATATTGCTGAGATAGAGGCTTATTGTAGAATCCTTCGAGCTGCCGAACAACTTCACAACACATTAATGGAGACACTATGCAATCCAGTGACTGGAGAATGTAGTATCTCATATGATATACCCTCAGAAGATAAACATTTACTGGAGGATAGAATAGTTTCTGTTCTTGGATGTATGGTATGTCTTCTAAACAAAGGGAGGGAGGATGTCCTATCTGGGAGATCCTTTATCATCAACTCATTCAGTGATTTTGATGTGCATGTAATGGATGATAAGCTTCCGCCACTAGCTTTTTTCAGAGGTGAAATGAAGAGGTATTGTGAGAGCTTGCATGTTGCTCTTGAAAACTTTATAACACCTGATGATCCTATGGGCATTAATGTATGGAGAAAGCTGCAAAGACTGAAGAATGTATGTTACGATTCTGGATTTCCCCGTGGAGATGACCATCCCTACCATACATTGTCCGCTAATTGGAATCCTGTTTATTTTTCATCAGAAGAAGAGACACAATCTGCAAGTTCTGAGGTTGCTTTTTGGACAGGTGGACAGGTAACTGAAGAAGGTCTTAGATGGCTGTTGGAGAGAGGATTCAAAACTATTATAGATCTCAGAGCTGAGACTATAAAGGACAACTTCTATGAAAAAGTGCTAGACGAAGCCGTTTCCTCTGGAGATATTGAAGTACTGAAACTCCCTGTTGAAGTTGGCACAACACCTTCAGTGCAGCAGGTTGAGAAGTTTGCAGCACTGGTCTCTGACGTATACAAAAGACCCATATTTCTCCACAGTAAGGAAGGAGTTTGGAGGACATCAGCTATGGTCTCTAGATGGAGACAATACATGACTCGCTGCACATCACACTTTGTGCCGAATGCTAATAAGGATGTGACCTCCAGAGTGAACTCATTTTGTGGTAGTAGAGGAACACAGGAGGCAGGCATGCCAGTTAACTCAGAAGAAAATAAAACTTCTACTTGTGAAGGTGTGTCTGCATCTGATCAAAAAAATGGGACACTACCTACAAGATCAAACAGCATAAACTCTGCTGGGAAACTTTTCAAACAAATTCCTGAAGCTATGGAAAACAAAGACCTAAGTAAGAATGAAGCTGATGATACTGTTGAATTCACTTGGAAAGGCACATTGCTTACTGCTGATGGTGCGGTAGTATCCTATAATAAAACAAACCCTCTTAAGTCGCAACTGCCTCCCCCTAAATTTTTCTCCCGAACTGAGATGTCTACATATTTCAGGAGTAGAAAGGTTTCACCAGAGACATATTTCACTCATGAAAAGAAAAGATTGGAGGGGCTCCATGCTTCGAGGTATTACTACAAGAGAGTACCTAAAGGGAATGAAATCATAGACAGTTACACTGAGGACAGAGCTGTGGATTCTAGAAATCCAAATGGGCCATCTAGTAATATGCGCTTATCAACGAAACCTTTGAATTCCTCTGCGAATATGGAAAAGTATGGGGGTCATAATGGCTGTGCAGTGCCAATTTTGAACAGATTCAATAATGGTGAAGTCCATACCTCTGTTAAAAGCAGTGGTCTTATTGATGCAAGTAACGAGTTGGATGCTAATGCTGTGTCCTCAGCCACTGCCATTGAGAGGAGGAACATTGAGGCCCCCAGGCCTTCAGTTGATGATAACATGGAGCTAATTGAAGGAAATATGTGCGCTTCTGCAACTGGTGTGGTAAGATTGCAGTCCAGAAGGAAGGCAGAGATGTTCTTGGTTCGCACAGACGGGTTTTTGTGCAACAGAGAAAAGGTAACAGAAACTTCCTTGGCCTTCACTCATCCTAACACCCAGCAGCAGATGCTTTTATGGAAATCCACGCCAAAGACCGTACTACTTTTAAAGAAGCTGGGACAAGAACTCATGGAAGAAGCCAAAGAGGTGCTTACACAGTTATCACTTATCGATCTTGGACTCTGATATATGACTACTCTGTTAATGCTGGACTCTCCCTGTTGTTTTTCATGAGGATGCATACAGTTACCAATACTTTTAATAGGGCTGTTAATTTACTATAGCAAGGCTCACATTTGTGTTTTTTTACAATTGAAAGGAAGACCCGCGAAGGACCTTCCTTGAGAGCAAGAGATTTATTTTGGCTCATTTGTAATTTCTGTGCTACACGATAATCATCTTATCTGCTCTGTGAAATCAATGTACATACTTTGAAACTCCAGATTGAGTGATCAAGTAGGCCTGCTTGCCCCCGTTTTTTCTTTATCAACAAAAAGAAAAAAAGAATATGCTCGACATATGTTCCTGCATCATACTAGCCCGACCTCTCAGCATATTCAAACAAATTACAAAAGCTGCACTTCGTTTGTGAATGGATATTTAGTTACTGGCAATCATCTGTAATATGAATTCCATCTACTTTCTGTCCAATTTTGTATCCACCAACCAACTTGAGAAAGGAATATATGACCATTAGTTTTCTCTACTCATTTTGGATCTTCTTTGCCATTGACTTCCATCCCTCTTACATCATGAATTTCAGTGTCATGCAAGTCTCTACCTAATTTTGCTGAAGTGAATCTTGGTTAGCTTAGGCCTTGAGATTTTTTCCCATTTGTTTCATTTTGAGAACCTTTAGTTTCAGCTTGTTGTTCATAGCTCTATGATCCATTTATGGAACTTACCTTTGAAGGTTCCATATTTAAGAAAATATGTAGTTCTGGAAAATTCGCTATTTTCTTTTGCAACATGCTTATGCAGTCGAAAACTATGTCCTTTTCGTTCTTTAGATAAGTATCTCTAGCAAATAGTTTACTATCTCATAGTTTTAACTCTTTTGCTTTTTTCTTTCTTTCTAATTCTTCTTTGAAGGTTGCTTCTTTCTTGTATTACCAAGAGAAAATGAATGTTCTTGTTGAACCTGAGGTGCATGATATATTTGCACGAACTCCAGGCTTTGGATTTGTTCAGACCTTTTATAGTCAAGATACCAGGTGAAATGACCCACAAACTTTACACTCAGATAGCATTCTTCATATATTTGTTTGTTTGTCTCGGTTCACTTCTTTTACTTCACTAAGATATGCTGACCTTGCCTGTTGTACCTAATGCAGTGATCTTCATGAAAGTGTTGATTTTGTTGCCTGCCTAGGCGGAGATGGAGTTATACTCCATGCTTCTAAATTATTTCGAGGTGCTATCCCGCCCGTTGTGTCATTTAATTTAGGATCCCTTGGATTTCTCACTTCCCATACAGTATGCTTCTTGACTGAAAACATTATGATTTAGTTCTTAATTCACTTAGGAAGTCTCTCCTCTTACTTTTTCTTATTAATCCGTAAAGTTCGAAGATTATAAGAAGGATCTAAGACAAGTCATTCATGGGAATAGCACTCTGGATGGTGTTTATATAACTCTGAGAATGCGTCTTCGATGTGAGATATTCAGAAATGGAAAGGCAATGCCTGGAAAGGTGTTCGATGTCCTAAATGAAGTTGTAGTTGAGCGTGGTTCTAATCCATATCTCTCCAAAATTGAGTGTTATGAACATGATCGCCTCATTACCAAGGTGCACTTTTTGTAAACCTAACTGCCAACTACCCCGCTGCCCCTGCAGAAGAACAAAAAATTATCCCATTTTTCATATTTCAGGCTTCGTAGATCTTCCTAGCCAACTTTTTTATTTCAACAAGCGTCCACTTGATTACGGAGCAATAGGACATGGCGATACCTGTGACACCATTTTATGTTATTTGGCAGGTGCAAGCTGATGGGATCATAGTAGCCACACCAACTGGAAGTACTGCTTATTCTACGGCTGCTGGAGGTTCCATGGTACCTATTATCCCTAAGAGATATGAACCTTTTTAACTTACATGAGTTAATTGAACATGTGTCCTGAAATACCACAGGCAATGAATTGTATCCAAAGCAAATACTCCCTCCGTTTCAATTTATGTGACATAGTTTGACTCGGCACATAGATACTAAAAAAAAAAAAAGAGAAAAAGAAAAAGAAGACTTTTAAAATAGTGGTCTTAAAAGCTTAAAGGGTAAAAGCTTTGTGGGGCCATAACATTTGTGTCGCTATAAAAGGTTCTCATTAAGGCTAAACTGGGTAAATTGAAAAGTTTAAAGTTAAATTATTTCCAAATATAGAAACGTGCCATTCTTTTTGAAACGGACTAATAAGGAAAGTGTGTCACATAAATTGAAACCGAGGTAGTAATAAGTTAAAGCTGAATTACAGAACTAGTGCAAGATGGTGAGGTTTATAGCTTTAACAGTTTGTTGTGGCATTGGTGAAAAGCTAAAAAAAGAGCCACAGAGAAGTGGCTGACTACCCCCTCCCCTCTCATTAAGAAACAGGAGAAGAAGAGACAGGAAAAGAAAGTAGACTGCATTGTGCACTTAATAGTAAAGATATAGATGTTTCCTGACATATTTTACGAGTTATTGGTAGAAGCTAGTTGATTCCTCCTGTCATATCGTTATTATTGATGTGGAAATGGAGTGATGCAACAGACACTTGAATTGAATAGATGGAAAGGATACTTTCGAAGATATTGGGGAAAACTGCTAAGCTAGTCAAATTTGGACTCCTGATTGAAAACCTACTATCGGGGTTTTTCTTTAAAGGTTGAAAGCCTAATATTTAGAATTAAACAAAACTGATAGCAAGACTTCTTTGCATGGTTCTGTATTCAGTGGTGATTATGTTTATGATCCTTAGCTGTGTTACATAATCTGATGCTGATCAATTGATTTATTTTTTCCACTTCCTATTTGTTATTTACTGAAAGTAATAAATGCATAATCTTGTTTCCATTTCCTATTTATTGTATGACTGTGAATAGTGGAGATCGTAAAATTGCTTCATAAAATGTCACTCTAAGTGTAGATGTGTGCAACAAAGCAATAACTTGCAGCAGTCAATCAGGTTATCAGCAAGTATGAACCAATTTTTTGCATCAAAAGCAAATTGACGGAACTCCATATTAAACAAATTAGTTTCAGTGTACTGCGAAGTAGTTTTAGCTAGTTGTGTGAAGATTTCTTTCTGATTTCTTTTGTTCTACTTAGTTGCAATCTTGAAGTTACATCTTGCAATAAGATGGTTTTGTTATTTGATCTTTATACACAGTTGTTGATCTATATTTTTAACTTTTGAAAGTTGTGTTGTTTGTTATTGTTCATTTAATTGATGCTGAAACTTTAGCTGTGCTCCTTCTGGTCGATAATTGTTGATTGATTCGCCTTTACCAAGTGGATGTTAGAATAGTATATCACAAGTAAATTTATGTCATGCAGGTGCACCCAAATGTTCCTTGCATGCTCTTCACACCAATCTGCCCACACTCGCTCTCATTCAGACCTGTCATTCTTCCAGACTCTGCAAAGCTGGAGCTAAAGGTGACTTTCTCCATGAATATTTAAATAGTAATGGTATACATTTACTTTTAACTACTAGTGCTAGTACCTTGGTACAGTGTGTTAATGCTCTTGGGCGCTGCTTTAGTAAATTTTGAAAGATCATCTTAGACAATGGAATAAGTTATTGTCCGGAAGGGTAGCACCCAAGGGTGTGGCCTAGTGGTCAGTTAATATACTGTCTGGAAGAGTAGCACCCAAAGGTGTGGCCTAGTGGTCAATGACGTAGGTTGAGAACCATGAGGTCTCAGGTTCAAATCCTAGCAGATGTAAAACACTAGGTGATTTCTTCTCATGTGTTTAAGTGTCGTTCATGGACAAAGTTGCCCGATACCTGTGGCTGGTGGGAGGTAGCAGGTACGCTGTGAAACTAGTCAAGGTGCACGCAAGCTCGGCTGGACACCTCAATTCTCAAGAAAAAGTTAGTGTCTGGAAGGGTAGTTAATTGATTTACTTTCAATTAACAAAACTAGCGAAAGCGTTCTTCAATCCCGCGAGATTGCAAGAAGCGTTATAAAGGAAGAACAATGAAATAAAAAGTAAATCACGTTTTTTAAGCAAGAACTTAGAAAAACTAACCACCAATGTTTATTTTCAGCATATTAAGCCCTTTAAATAGGCCTTACAATGAAATAAAATTGATAAGGTTAAGGAAAACTAATCCTAATTAAACTAGAATAAAAATAAGGCAAAGCAAACCTATCCTAACTAAAATAAGAAAAAGAATTCTAGTTGGAATGGACTACCAACTAACAATCCTAGTTTGACTAGAACTATAAATATATGTAATCCTACTATTGTAATCTTCAAGGAAAAGAAATCTTAATGTTGAATGGATTCTTGGACTTCTTCAATTTCTTGAAATTCTTGGGCCTCATTGGATTAAGGCTAATTAGTGTAAGCATTTTAAATTCGTGGCCTAATTCTCCAAATTCATTGGAACCTTCATGAGCCCAATAAGCCTCCATTGTTGTAGAAAATATGGCCTCCATATGTTCATCATTCTCCCCTAGTTGAAAAGGACTCGCCCTCGAGTCATCGGAATAGTAGGTGATACTTCAGAAAGTCATTGGGAAGCTCCAAGCGATAAGCATTATCACCAATCTTTTGCAGTACCTTAAAAGGTCCATCAGCTCGCGTTTGTAATTTAGAAAACTTGCGGTTTGGAAATCTCTCCTTACTCAAATGAACCCAAACCAAGTCGCCTTCCTTGAACACCACATGTTTCCTACGTGTATCATCCTTTTCTTTATATCTAGTGTTTTGCTTCTCGATATGTGACCGAACTTTCTCATGTAGTTTCTTGAGTTGCTTCACTCGATCAACAACATCTCCACTAAAAGAATGAGTGGCTAGAAGAGGAGAAAGATCAAGTGGTCCAAGAGGATTCTTACCATAGACAACTTCGAATGGACTCTTTCCCATAGTGCAGTTGGTTGACTTGTTGAAGGCAAACTCATCAGTAGGAAGTAACGATTCCCACTCTTTGAGATTCTTCTTTATTAACCCACGAAGCAAAGCACCTAAACTTCGATTGACAACTTCGGTTTGCCCATGATGAGAAGTGCTAGGTGTTAGCTTAGTATCAAGTTTAGCCCATAAAGTCCTCCAAAAGTGACCTAGGAACCTTGAATCCCTATCTGAAACAATAGTTCTTGGAATTCCATGCAATTTCACAATATGATAAAAAATAAAGATCAGCAATATTTGTTGCATCCGAAGTCTTATCGCAAGGAATAAAGTGAGCCATCTTTGAAAATCGATCGACAACCACCAAGATGGAATCCTTACCTCTTTGAGTCCTTAGAAGGCCCAACACAAAGTCCATGCTAATGTCTTCCCAAGGTTGAGTAGGAATTGGCAGAGGAGTGTAAAGACCCGAATTGCTTTTGTGCATTTTTGCCTTTATATAAGTTTCACATCTTGCAACCAGCTTATTGACATCCCGAACCATCTTAGGCCAATAGAAGTTTTCATGAACTAGGCGTAGAGTGTTTGTTTGCCCAAAGTAGCCAGCTAACCCTCCCTCATGGGATTCACGGATTGTAAATTCACGCAAACTTCCTTGTGGAACACAAAGCTGCTAACCATGATAAAGTTAGCCATCCTTAAGCACAAACATGCGCTGAGGACCCTCCCAGCATTGACCCCAAATAGCTCCAAAGTCTGGATCTGTTGCATATAATTCCTTTATGTGTTCAAAACCCGCAATAGTGTTTTGCATGACAGAAACAAAACAACGCTTGCGACTTAATGCATTAGCTGCTTGATTGACTTTCCAGCCTTGTGTTTAATAACGAAGTGAAAGGCTTGCAAAAATTCTACCCACTTGGCGTGCCTAATGTTGAGTTTATGTTGGCTATTCACATACTTCAAGGCCTCATGATCAGAATAAAGCACAAATTCTCGAGGTAAAAGATAATGACTCCAATGAGAAAGAGCTCTGACAATGGTGTAGAACTCTTTGTCATAAGTAGAATACTTGAACTTTGCATCATTTAGCTTCTCACTAAAATAAGCAATGGGTCTACCTTCTTGAGCAAGAACAACTCCCATCCCAACTACGGAAGCATCACATTCAACTTCAACGATTACATCAAAGTTGGGCAAAGCAAGCACATGTGCTTGAGTCATCTTTGTCTTAATTAATTCAAAACTCTTTTGGGCAGCATCCGTCCATTTAAATGAGTTTCCCTTCAAACACTCGGTAATAGGAGCAACAAGAGAGCTAAAATTCTTTATAAAACGCCGATAAAAAGAAACCATACCATGAAAGCTGTGAATCTCTATTAAGCTTTTTGGAATAGGCCAGCTAGCAATAGCTTCAATCTTTTCCGAGTCGACATGAATTTCCTCAATAGAGACAATATAACTTAGAAAAGAGGCTTGCTCAGCAAAGAACTTGCACTTCTTCAAGTTGGCATAAAGGGTTTGCTCTCTTAAAACTTCAAAAAATCTTTCTCAAGTGCTTCAAATGTTGTTGATCATCCTTGCTCTAAATAAGTACATCATCAAAAAAAACGACAAATTTTCCTATATATGGCTGAAAGATTTGGGTCATGAGTCTCATATATGTGCTAGGAGCGTTAGAGAGCCCAAATGACATAACAAGCCATTCGTACAATCCCTTGCCTGTCTTGAATGGAGTCTCAGTCTTCCATTCATCACCCTCCTTCATTCGAATTTGGTGATAGCTACTTTTCAAATCAGTTTTAGAAAATATCTTGGCATCATGTAATTGGTCAAAAAGATCATCAAACCTAGGAAAAGGAAATCTATACTTGATGGTGATCTTGTTAATAGCACGACTATCAACACACAGGCGCCAAAATCTATCTTTCTTAGGAACGAGCAAGGTAGGTACAACACAAGGACTTAAACTTTCCTTATTACTCCACTCCTTTATAGGTAATCCTTCCTCTTGTTCATGCATATTTTTATGGACTTTAGGATTAACGCATTATGCTGACTTGTTTGGAATGATAGAGTCAACAATCAAGTCAATATCGTGTTGAGCTTCTATGAAAGGAGGAAGGTCAATGACACACATTGTTGGATACTCCAATGGATTATCATAAAACTTTGGCGGTAAATTCTCTTCTTGTAGATCCAATGCATGTTCCTCGTCTCTTTGGTAAATCCTCATCTTGTGGATCCAATATCATTAATGTTGGATGTTAATGAACATGTTGGGAGATATAGAGACGAGAGAGGGAGAGGTGAGCCAGATGAAGGTGAAAAAATGAGGAAGATGAAAGTGAAACGAGAATTAGCTATGATGGCTATGATACAAAATCTAGTTGAAGAAGAAATCTAGGGTATTTGGTTGAGAGAGGGGAGATGTTATTCAAAATTCTTCCATTGACAAGCTATAGCGAATAAGAAGAGAAACTTATAGAGGCAATAGAAGTTAAGGAATAATAATGTACAAGGAGAAGTAGTGCATGAGGCGATTGTGGATTTATACATACAATTATACAGGGAAGGGAGTGCTTTAAGGGACGTTTGGTATCATGGATAAAGAAAATAATCCCATGATAAAATGTGGGATTAGTTAGTCTTGGTTTTTTTTAAAAATCTTCATCAAAAAGAAAACGAAAATGAAAGAGAAAAAAGGAGGACAATACATGGCATAGTCCATGTTCTCTTTGTTGTTATCGTCTTGAGTCTATGACACCCCTTTATTTACTACCTTTCTTTCTTTATGATAACAACAATACCACCTCAATTCCAAACAAGTTGGGGTCCGCTATATGAATCCTCACTGACCATGTTCTCCATTTAAATTCATCTCAGGCCAAAATTGTACAAAATAAAAATAAAAATGAGAAGTACTAGAAGTTCTCGATATTTCCTACTAGCATAAGAATCTGTAATCAGACTAGAAAACTCCTAGAAAACATAGGCCTAAAGCAAATGTAATAACGTGATATGCACCGAATGGTAAGTGAAGGTGTTAAAAGGAGACGAGATAGCCTAAAACACATGAAAGAAGTTGTCTCAAAAGACTTACAATCTCTTGGAATCAATGCAACTTACTTCCATGTGAATTTAGGTCTATCTCGTCTCTTTTTAACACCTTCACTCTCCATGGTTTAACATCCACAGTGTACATACCAGTGCATGTGGAGGTCAACACAAGACATGACCAAACCATGCAAAGCGACATTCTCTGATTTTATCCTCATGCTACTTGTTTCATCCGGCGAATGTAGTTATTTTTAATCTTGTCTAAACTTATATGAATGCACATCCATCTTAGGTTTCGGATCTTTGAGACACTCATCTTGTGGATGTGTTGGACTTCAGCAGCCCAATATTCACATAAATATTACATTGCTGGTCTAATAACTGTTCAATAGAACTTACTTTCACTTTGATATGTATCCTCCTATACATAACACCTCAGTAGCACAAAATGTTCGTCGACAACAGGATTGGAACCTGCACAGGAGAATCCCAACAGATTTCAAGTCTTCTCCTTAACTGCTCGAACATATAGGCAGCTTTTTTATAAGTTCTTATCTTTCCTCATAAAACAACGATTTTTTCTATTTGTAGAATGTGAGTCCTTTTATTCTGCTACTTCTGATTTTGGACTTCTCTTCTACTCTTGATGAAGTTACTAAAACAATTAAATTTGAAGTTGTGCCTGATTTTGATAGGTCATCTTAGAATATGTTCTAGTCAGTATTCTTAAAAGCAGACTTGATTCCTCAATGAATTTAGGTTTCTTAGGATGCTTTAAGTTTTTCCCTAAAAGAGTAATGTTGGTGCAAAAGCCTTTATTTCAACTATCGTGTTTCATGATTGGCACTTGATGAGTGCACGTATCCAATTTCTTGATGTTACACCATTATTGTTTGACTATTAACACCTTGATGAATGCATATCCATTTCTTGATGTCAAATCATGAAATCTCTCATGATTTCATGGCATGTGTCTAGCATGCAGCCAAGGGACAACTGCGTCTTTCTAAACTTTTTGCTCTTTTGTGGATTCATTTCATACCATTCAGTTAGAAGGTTAAGTTATTTGCTTATAAACAGATTCCAGAGGATGCACGCAACAATGCCTGGGTCTCCTTTGATGGGAAGAGACGGCAACAACTGTCTAGAGGAGATTCTATTCGGATATGTATGAGTCAGCATCCACTTCCTACAGTCAATAAATGTGACCAAACAGGTGATTGGTTTGGTAGCTTGATCCGTTGCCTGAATTGGAATGAAAGACTAGACCAGAAAGCACTCTGAAGAAACTTGGAACTATCCTGTCCCACATTTATGTAGATTCTTGTACAGTCATATAAGATCAGCAGACTTACAGAAGATCCACTTTACACTGTATAAAATTCGTTTCCCATGGCTCTCATAGGTGCAATTAGTGTTCCCCACTTTTCATCCTCTTAGCAATGTTGCATTTCAACATGGGCATTTTCTATATCGCTACTCTACAATAGTCGGCTATAAAATTGCAATCTTTACTCATCTGCCTGAGATAGAGAGTTCTGTTCGTGGAATCTCTCGGCTATCATACTTCTTGATACCTCTTTTATAGGTATCAAGTCTCTCCAGCCGCCGCCCACTCCAGAAGTTATGTTCTGGTAAGAGCAAACATTAAGAGTGTGTTGAACTGTTCCATCTTGTTTGATGAAAGTGTGGCAGCCTCCTGTTATTAAACCCTGATCACTTATTTTGTATTTGAGCAGAGTCAGCAGGCAATGCCTTTACTGCAGCATGAAATAATTCATTGAAAATAATATTTTTTTTTCAAGATTGAGAATTATTTGTTACTTCATACTTTTTTGTTGAAGCTTCTCTATTAAATAAGATAGTTGTTAACCCTTTCAAAAGGGTGAACTCCTTCCATGATTAGGACCATTCTGTGGTTTCTCTGTGCATAAATATATACTAATATGATAAGTCTATGAACATAACCTCATGAATTAGTAGATGTATATACATAAGGTCAATATAGTATGATTTTGTCTCAGAAGAAAAATATTATTAAGGACCTCATATTTTGGAGGCGGATCTAGAATTTAAAGTGTATGTGTTTAGAATTTTAGCTCTTTTAAGTTATTGGGTTCTAGATTAATAATTTGTACATATTAAATGAATTTCTTAAGATAAATACAGGGTTTAGACCACAACTACCGGTTAGGTCGATCCCCTAGTCCAAACTCTACCTCCCGCCCCTTATAATACATGTTTGGTTATAAATACATAACGAACATATAATGTCCTTGATGATACTACATTCTTGGACAAATTATAGTTTGTGCAACCATTTTGTGGTTGAATTTGACCTCCATATAGCTCTAGTTAAATGGCATCACGATCAAGCTAAGGGTGGACTTTTGGTTTCTAAGTCAACTAATTGGTCACAAGTCTGACTTTTAACTGTACGTTTCCTATTGGAGCTGACCTCCACACCAATGTAACGATTGACTTCTGATTTGCTAGTTAACTAGTTGATTCTCTTCACAATGTATCTGACTTTCCAAGTGATTAAATAGCTATTGGTTTATCTGAATTTCTGGTCCACCAAACAGATATTGACTTCCAATTCATTATATATATATATATATATATATATATATATACTGATTCTTCTCTATGCCACAATTATAGCTCCTTTTGATGATCGGTAAGTTTCACAAAAAAAAAAGGTAAGGTTAATAATTAGACCAACGTAGGGTTTTCTTTGTTGGGGTTGAGTTGTATTTATGTTGATCATGACTCATGAAGGTGCTGAAGGTGCCATTTCAACTACCTCCAACTGCTCCACACCTGATGATGTTACGAATATGCAAACATATACTTGCACAGATCAAATGAAAATTTTTGGGGGCTTTTCCAAACGCATAAAAAGTGCTTAGATTAGTAAAATTGTATCTTCTTTCTCGCTTGCCTTTTCCTCATTCGTTTTCAGGGCTATACAACAACAACATACTCAGTGTAGTCGCACAAGTGGAGTGTGGGGAAGGTAGAGTGTATGCAGGCCTTATCCCTGCCTTTAAAATGAAAAATGAAAAATTTAATCCTCGGGGCCAACGATGATATCGTTGTACTAGGGCAATCTCAACTAAACTTGGATATCGTCAATATGCCTTAACCTAATATCATACAATATATTTCAATTGGTTTCTGAGGCTATTATTGTACACGGTAGAAATCGGGGCTACTCGATTTCGTGGACTCGAGGGTTACTTCAAGAGCGGGATCGAAATAGACCATGAGCGAGCCCGATGGGAGGCTTCGAAGATCGAAGTACTCGATGAACACCGAGGCTAAGTATGACCGACCTCGAGATAATACCGTTATGGTCCCGTAACATAAAGAGCAAGATTCTCGCCACGTCCCCAAGATCGTGGCGTAAATTCAGGAATAGATTTGTACTAGTTAGTACGAATCCGTACTAGGCGGTTAGACAGTTGTCCCAATAAGATTCCTTACTGAAAATAGAAATATACCTTATTTAGGATTTCCCTACTATATAAAGGGGACCCCAGTCATTTGCAAAGATCATTAATCATTGGCAGAAGAATACATTCTCTTACTTTCTCGTTCATTGTTCATCAGAATTTTTCTTTAACTTTATTGTTCTTACTTTACAGTTCTTGACCTACCTCGAGGTCGAGACTGGCTTGCACACTGGTTTGATTTTACTTGTTTCCTTCATTTATACGTTAGTTTTCTTGGTTATTAATTAGTATTGAACTAAATAACATATCTTTAAAACCATAAATCAAATTTAATTGTTACTCGTATTTTCGAGGTAAACAGTTTGGCACCCACTGTGGGGCTAAAGATAATAGTGATTATTTCAGTACTGATTCTGATAACACACGTTATTTTCACACTTGTTCTTGCCAAGAATTTTTGTTCTCAGGTCAAAACATGTCAAACTCACAAAACGCACCCATACACGGCGATGACGGTCTTGGATTTCACGGTGAAAACAACAATGTTTAATCGCTCCGGGAGCGGTGTACCACCGATAAACCCTGAGGATGTGCAAAATATGGAGCCAGTTGATGTTAGCTCTCACATTGCTCTGAATGCGGATTTGGGCGCAGACCCCGGAGGAAGTGTAAGCAGGGAATCCCGATCTGGCGGCCAAAGAACATAGGGTATAGGAGATGGGGGAGTCACCCTCCAAGTAATATTCGAGATGGTTCAAGCTCAATAGGTTGCTATCGCTGAGCTTCAAAGTCAGCACAAAACTCCAAGCATAGTCGAACCAGAAAACACTCGACGAGCTGAGCTGGTGCCAGAAAGATCAAACGGTAATGGCTCGGGGACTGACCCCACGATTATGAGGATGTTCGAGGAACTCACCAAGAGGATCGAGTATGGGGAGAAAAATATTGAGGATAATGACAAAAAAGTGGAGACTTATAACTCCCGTGTCGATCAAATACGGGGAGCTCCCCCGATCTTGAAGGGATTAGATGCCAAGAAATTCGTACAAAAGCCATTCCCTCCGAGTGCGGCTCCGAAGCCCATCCCAAAGAAGTTCCGTATGCCCGATATATCTAAATACAACGGAACCTCTAACCCAAATGAGCACGTTACTTCTTACATGTGCGCCATAAAGGGAAACGACTTGGAAGATGACGAAATCGAGTCTGTACTATTGAAGAAGTTCGGGGAGACTCTATCGAAGGGTGCCTTAATATGGTATCATAACTTACCCCCTAATTCTATTGATTCATTTGCTATGCTTGCAGATTCTTTTGTAAAGGCACAAGCCGAAGCCATTATAATTGCAACAAGGAAGTCGGACCTTTTCAAGGTAAGGTAGAAAAATAACTAGATGCTCAGAAAATTTTGTATCTCAGTTCCAAGCGGAGAGAATGGATTTGCCTCCGGTCACCGATGACTGGGATGTTCAAGATTTCACTCAAGGTCTCAATACTTGGAGTTCCATAGCTTCACAACAGTTGAAGCAAAGTCTAATCGAGTACCCGGCTATCACTTGGGCCGACGTACACAATCGGTATCAGTCGAAGATTAGGGTCGAGGATGATCAAGTGAGGACTCCTTTGGGGTCCGTTTATCCTAGCAGGACCATGGATAGGATCAAAAGGGATATCGATCAAGAGCCGAGGTCGAATAGAGATCGATATCAACCATACAACGGAGACCATAGAGGCAGCGATTCCGGGCAAAGCTTCGCACGAAATGAGAGGAGAAATGATGGAGGTCAAAATTTATGGGGGCTTGATGCCGAGGAAGATCATGTTAAATAATCCAAAATCCGAATAAAGGTACGACCCCATCCCAATCTTTTCCATTTTTTCGACTAACATTTGCAAGCTATCGACAAGGATCGGCACGAAGCTTTGGATCTTAGAGCGCGCATTGCACTCTTTTTCCCTCAGACAGGTTTTTTGTCCTAAATGGGTTTTTCCAGCGAGGTTTTTAACGAGGCAACTATTGTTCATGTTAACTAAAAGCAATTCAACAGTATCCGAGGTTCTCTACAATAAGCCTCGAGTACTGGAGAGCATTACCCTTGAATGTCTACTTTGTGGCAAGGAAATCACTTCGTGACAGTGGGTCTCGATAGGAAAATATTGTAAGGGTCAAACAGTCAGATGAACCGTGACCGTATAGGTTACTCGAGCCCTAAAAATCAAACATGCGCGCATGTATAATCATCTAATGAGAGAAGTATTTTTCCTTGCCAATATCTCATGCTTTTAGAAAATTTCCCATTTTATACTCTTAATCTATTGTGCAAACAGGTTTAAGGGCCGACCGAGATGGAAGTTCGAACAACTAACCCCGCGCTTGAGGAATGCCATCCGAAAAACGAACGAAATCAAACTACTAAAATTTCGAGACCACAAGACCTTAAAGGCGACCCTCGATTTTATAGGCCACGGCCACCCCACTCGGGGACTGACACTTCGGGCAAGCTCGAAGTGAAACGGAAAATAAGCCCAAAGGGCGAGTTCCGAACCAAAGAGGCTAGGGCCAAATTAACGCGGATCGGAGACGTCTGAAATTCGTAACAAATACAAAAGCCCAAGGGCTATCGTAACCCGAGTTCGAGCAAACACTCACTCGGGGACTATCTATAAAGCCTAAGGGCTAACTTTACTTCGAGTTTGTGCAAGTCCTCACTCGATCATAAAAGCCCAAGGGCTATCTTAACCCGAGTTCGAGCAAATGCTCACTCGGGGACTATCTATAAAGCCTAAGGGCTAACTTTACTTCGAGTTCGAGCAAATCCTCACTCGACTATAAAGCCTAAGGGTTAACTTTACTTCGAGTTCGAGCAAGTTTTCACTCGATCATAAAAGCCCAAGGGCTATCTTAACCCGAGTTCGAGCAAATCCTCACTCATGGACTATCTATAAAGCCTAAGGGCTAACTTTACTTCGAGTTCGATCAAGTCCTCACTCGATCATA